ACATCTGCAGTCAACCCAGTAAGGTAAATCTGCCAGTACCCAATGCCACCGCACGTCTGCTGAGAATAGCCATTGCAGGGTGAGTCGCATTTGTCCGGGTCAACTTCCAAGTCCAAACCTGGGAGTTCGTCACCACAATAACAGGTCGATCCTCCAGTTATGGCCATCACAGGTTTGTCCAATTGCACACATACTCCTTGGCAATATCCTGATGTTTGAAATGTGTAGTCTCCCTGTGAAGTCAAAGGGTCTGGATGGCTGTAGCAACCTAGGGTTGTGATAGCTTTGGGTGCGGAGGTGGACGTCTGAGCTGATACTGGGGACGTAAACAGAACGAGGACCGAAGTCAGAGCGGCGGCTTGTAGGAGTGACTTCGCCATGGTGTTCGATGTTCTTGGGGTGAGGCAGTTCTGAAAAATGACGCGGCTCAACTCGATAGGGACGTGTGTAGGATGAAGAGATTCGAGATGGTCAGCGGTGAGGTCGAAGTCGTTCAAAGACCGGTCAGGTGGTTGCCCTGTCGTGTAACCAGATCAAATCCAGGTGAAGGCCAGTCACTTGGAAAGGCACAGCCAACACGAATTTCTTTGTTCTCCTTCACAGCAGTGACCCGCACTGCTATTTTTTCTCTCCCGTGCTCTTTTGTTAACCTTCAGCACCCAGGTCTGCGAATATACATCAAAGCGTCGAGCAGGACGGAGGTGTTTACAGCTCTCTCAGGAGGTCTGTCTTGTTCGAATCGCTGGAAGGTAAAGGGGAGCTTGGCTGGGAATGCAAGTTGTGTTTCAGACTTGATACACCGGAGGGCCCCTGAGAAGTCGATCAAAGTAGTAATTGAAGTTGAACGAGCGTGAGAAGGGGTCACAGTTGAGACGCGACGAGGCGTCTAGACGGTGTAGAATGTGCTGTTGCACGCTGCCTCGATGGCGAAGTGATGAGGTTGTTGTGTTGGATGAGAAAGGAATGTGGTGGTCTGGTTCTGCGGTTGGTGCAGGTTGGAGAGAGGAAGAGTCACAAGACTTGGAAGGGAAAGGAATCGAGGTCGATGGAGCACTGACCGGCGACGGGCAATTGTGGTGCCTTACGAGTACGCGACCAGGTGAAAGAGGAGACGTTGCGTGACACTAGGGAGCGGCCTTGGATGTTTCAATTGGGCCTCTAGGCAATATCGAGCTAAATGACAAAAGGGCCTTCGGTAGCACGTAAGGGTATTGGCAGGAGAGAAAATGGGGGGCAAGCAACTGTGGAAGGTGAAGAAAGGCCCTGCGGAAAGAAGAAACAGCGGCAGCAGAAAATGGCTCCCCTCGGAAATTGGTTGTCAAACGCCTATCGACGCATTAGGCATGGTGAAGCCCCCGAGAAACCCCATTACTAGCCCCTTTAGGTGAGAGTGGCTCCCCCGGCTCAGCTTAGCCAGGTACCATCAACTTCCAGGTCCAATCCCCTGCAAGCCACTTGTCAAAGACACCCTCGCCCACGTTATCTTGACTTCTCTGGTAGCTTGGTATCTTCATCTCGAATCTCGACAAAGTGGATTGGAGTCTTGAACGCTTCAAATTCTATTTTGGTCGGCCGAGATGAATTATCTGCTACAATGTGTCTACCATGATAGTGCTTGATATCGAAAGATGAGTATCCCCTTCTCTTCTTTTAAACGAACTTCCATGGATACTGCCGAGGCACCAGGCGACGCACATGTTCCTGCATTGGTGTGGATGGCCTTACATATCAAAGCTGACTCTTATTTGCTCAAATCCGCAGTTAGGACTTCCGGAAGCCCCAGTTCACTCTGTCGCTGAGTGGCGTTCGGGTATGGCGCATTTAATGGCGTGGAGGCTTTCAGGAGGGGCTTTGGACTAAGACCACGACGAGACGCCTCGACTGCTTCAAACTTCTTTGCCAGGAGAGCGCGTCGTATCTCGGTCATCAGCTTTATCCAATTGGCAGCCAATGACAATATTTGTTGAGGTACTGGTGCGCGTCTCTTCCAAGCAGCATCAGAGCGGTGGCGTTTGGTGGCTTGTCCGCGGCTTGATTTCGCTTGATAACTGAGTTCACATACCCATGTCCAAAATGCACAACGATGGTTTGCAGGAGGTGGAAGAAAGTGAAAATGGACATGTGCAAGGCAGAATCTGCCTTGGCTAGGATATGAATCCGGTGGTATCCGTGAAGCCTTTGCGCCATGGCTTGCAATCGAGTTGGTATTTCTGGAACATATAACATGGGCTTCCGGATAATACGTCCTCCAGCCCAAAACTGCACAAAAATCCATTTCTTCATCTCCGTGACAATCATTCAGCGCTCCAGATGGCGTGCATCGATGCCAATATCCGGCCAAGAAGATATGGTCAATTTGGCACCAGCACCTTGCCACCTCGCTCGTGCAGTTGTCGATTGTGATAATCCCATGTTCCATACCTGGCTTGCTCAAATAATAGACCCATCTACGGCCACCTATTTAGGCACAAGTTCGCGAGCCAGGTTGGCCTCCATCCGCAGATGGTAGGGTCACTTATCTCGAAGATCCACCACCTCGAATTCCATCCCTCTTGCCTCCACGACGTGTCCTGGTCGGAGCGCGTCAGTGTAGATATTATCAACATCGTGCGGGTGGAAGATCCCTGGCTGTTCGCAGCTGAGAATGGTCTTCTTGCCAGGAGGATCGGTTAGACGATATACTCCCCAGTCTCCACCGTGGGTTGTGTCTCCTTTGCTCGGAGCACACACAATTGCCACACTCTCTGCTAGCATCATCTGATATCCCGCATGTGTATGCAAGTCTCGACTGCTCATAAAACACGTCTGGGTTGGATGAGTGTGTATCCAGCCAAGTATCATAAGATCCTCCGAGTCCACATAGTCAAAGAGCTGTGATTCATTGGTCATCTCACATGTATCCGATGTTGCCGTTTGCGAAGGAATAATGAGCCGGCTAATGAAAAAGGCGTTGGCGATCAGCGTCCCACCTAGGAAACCACACGTCTCCAAATTAGCCAACGTGTTTTTGTGAGCCAGTCGCAGAAATGTTGTCCGCAGAGTTGGCGGAAGGAACACAGTCCGCAATGGCGTTCCATTTTCGAGGTAGGCTGCAGGAGCAAAAATATGCACTGGTTCGGGTGTTTGTGATCTGGCTGCAGGCTGCTGATCCGTTACTTTTCCCGGACGAGGCGGCACTGCCACCACATTGCTGCCAGGTTTCGGTGGTAACGCTGGAGGTGAGACTGGAATATCTCGTTGTATGCTAGGAGGTAATACACGAGGTAAGGGAGAACTCAGCACTGGTTGATTGTGGTGTGTAGGGATGCTCGGATACTGATAAGTGACGTTGCTGCCGACAGACGCAGGTAGCCGGCTCTCTGTACCCTGCAAAATGGGACCTGACCTCCCTTCGACACGGGCTCGAATTTCCTGCAGACTTCGGGACAGATCTTCCGCATCGTTCCTAGACGTTTGCGTTGCCTGTCGACTTGCAGCTCTCCTAGAGATCTCCTTCTGCAAGAGTCTGACTGCTAGCTCTTTGTTTTCGTGTGCTTGGAGTTGTTGTGTCCTAGGTGCCTGCCCTGGTTGGGGACTTGGAGGGTCAGTGGTGTACTGGTTGTGGGCTTGCGCGCTCCGCCTGGCCTCCCTCTCCTTTATGAGCTTGACGTATCGCTCATACCGCTCGTTGATTCGGGGTTTCAGCAAATCCAGGACCTTGAAGTTGTCATTGACCTCTTTCTCCGCCTGTTTTAGTAATAGTTTATTTGCTTTGTCCCTGGCTTGCGGGTGAGCCGGCAACTGCGACAAAATAAGGTGGGCATGTCGGAAAAGGAGAAGATATGTCGTCTCTTCGTCACCTTCGCGGATATATACCTCTGCCTGTGCAAAAGTCAGTGTTCATTTCCCAGAGATGTCACAAGAAACCACCGACCTCTTTCAGCATCGCTTGAGCAGACCGCAGCCAGTACCGTAGAGGGATTTGGGCGTCATATTCGTAGTCTTGAGCAGCTTTGGTGATTTGCTGGACACTCCGAGGGGGGTGCAGTGAGCCCATGCTCACCCTGAGAGCCGACATTTGTGCAAGTTCATCGACCAGCCTTGGAGGGGTGACGATCCATGTGGGGTATATTCAGAGCCACTTAACCAGGCTTAACACTGTCGGAACTCTGAGCGGACAGTCCGGCAAGCGAATTGCACTCGCCTAGATTCAAGTAGCACAGACGCAAGATTGCGCGATGCAGAAAAGTGGTTGTACATCTCATCGTGTTGAGGGTTGGGCAATTGCGAGTGGGAGTAAGTGACGCCGCAGTCAGGCGTCACTCATTTTAGCAGACCTCCGACAAACTCCGGGAAAGTCTGCCGAGAAACTGTCCAGTGTACAACCCTTCACACCGATATCATTGACGATGCATTGATCTCGGACAGCTATTCGTCCAACCACTTGATCCTCCCTTAAGGGCTTTGTTGTTGAATCACAGCACCTGTCTGGCGTAAATAGCAAGCACCCCAACTGAGACTGGCACCCCATGTACTTTGCAAGTCCCCGCACAAGATTGCCTTCTTCCCTCTGACTCGTCGCTTTATCGCCTCGTTGTATTCCAGGGCTACAGAGGGACGATCCTTATACGCGGTTCAAAGCTACCTCTAGCTGACAAAGCGTGATTGTGAAATCCATTCCACCCCGATCTCTATCGCGAATGCTTGCAAACAGCACACCTTCTACATCATCTATCCATAGCGGCGGCGGGACCACAGCAGGTAGCCTTTCTGGGGTCTCTGACTAGTGGGTGCGTATTGCGGAACCGAGTAAGTCCCTTGTACGGAGTAAAGGATATCAGAAGGTAGGAAGGGTGAAATCAAGGCTATCGTGATGATCATAGAGATCAGGGATGGCCTAATAATTCGTCTATAAAAACGCCAGCTAGGACATCATAACATCAAAGTCAATCCAAAGCAAACAAGCCTCACATTACTAGAATTCAGTTGATTGTCAATATCCACAAAACTATCTGCTGAATATGGCGTCTTCCATTCAGCCTTACAAAATCACCGTCTCTGGTACCCGCATCCAAGAGCTTAATTCCAAGCTCGACAGTGCCACACATCCAGATGAGCTGGACTCTGCAGGGTGGGACATGGGTGTCCCTTTGTCCGACATCCAACGACTCACAAAATACTGGCGCCATGAGTTCAGCTGGCGAAGAGCTGAGGAGAAGCTCAATGAACTACCTCATTTTGTCACCACAATCGCGTGTGAAGGTTACGAGCCTCTGAATATCCATTTCCTGCACAAGAGAAGTTTGGCCAAGGGAGCAATCCCACTGCTCTTCGTGCATGGATGGCCTGGGAATTTCCTAGAGGTCACCAAAATCATTGATGGTCTCTCTACCCCGACCCAAGGTCAAGTATCCTTCCATGTCGTCGCACCCTCGCTGCCCAACTTCGGATTTTCAGAAGGCACGAGAAGACGCGGATTTTCAGTCGAGCAGCATGCAGAGACGTTGCATAAGCTGATGGAGAGGCTTGGATATGATCAATATGTCACCCAAGGTGGTAAGTCGAACCGTATAGAATCTACATAAGCTTAACACCTGGATTTGTGAAAAGCAACAGACATGGGATTGACTGCTAGGCAGGTGATTGGGGTTACTACATCACTCGGGCTATTTCGGCTCTCTACCCAAGCCATTGCAGAGCCACACACTTCAATATGGACGTGGGCACTCGACCTACGCTCTTCACGCATCCACTCCTCTTCGTGACCTCCCTCTTTCGACATCTTTCTAACAGAGAGCAACAAGGTGTATCCCGCACTGAATGGTTTGACAAAGAAGGGTTCGGGTACAACCTGCTCCAATCCACGAAGCCGCAGACGATAGGCTACGCACTGGCTGACAGTCCTGTGGCTTTGCTGGCGTGGATCTACGAGAAACTGCACGACTGGGCAGACGCGTACCCTTGGAGTATGCCTTGCCCGTTTCCCCGATGATTGTCTTACCCTCAATCGCACCCCCTTCCTCTTTTCATTTTACCCCCGAATCCCTTTGATAACGACGGAAATGACTAACGCCCTCATGCTCATTTTCACAGCCGACGAAGAAATCTGCACCTGGCTGAGCATATACTACTTCAGCACCGCCGGCCCCGCCGCCTCGTGCCGGATATACTACGAAATGGGCCGTTCGGGCCCCTGGGGTCATCGCTTCACCCTGGACGAACTCAGGCTTACCAGGCCAACGGGGTCAAGATTGGGATCAGCCATTTCCCGCGAGATATCAATGTGTTGCCGAGTTCGTGGACGAGGACCGTCGGCGAGGTCGTGTTTGAGAAGGAGCATGACAAGGGGGGACACTTCGCGGCGTGGGAACGTCCCGAAGACATTGTGCGCGACGTAAGGGAGATGTTTGGACGGGGCGGTGGTGCTTACGGGGTTGTGGAAGGGAGGGATGGGTATTGAGATGAATCGCCTGGGACTTATTGCAGGTTCAAGTCTTATGGCCATTCTTGTGGTCTACTTCAGCTCCTCAATCCGCGGGGTACCACCCGTCATGCCCTGTGTTCCGCTGGGTCCAGCCTGATTGTCATCGTCATCGCTATCATCTGGCTCATCCTTCGGCATTCGCAAACCCATTAGTCCCATGAGATTGCTACCAGGTCCCGCATTGCCAGCCTGCGCCTTGAGGCTCTCCAAGAGGTTCCTCGCCAGGTTGACGTCGATTTCGTTGTCGATGTCGTCGTCAGAGGATAACTCGTAGACTTCATCTTCGTCACCCTTCTGCTTCCCAGCTTTGAGTGTTGGCTCTGTGATCGCTCTCTGCTTGGTGGTAGATGAGGAGGACCCGAGGTCTAGGGCGCCGTGCCCTCGAAGCTCTGCCTCCATCTCTTTCATGAACGCGTGCAAGTCCGCGCCACTTTCTGCCTCGTCATCATTGATCCCGTCCCAAGCTTGAGCAGAGCCTGTCTCTGTCGCAGGCGGCCTCAGTGCGGATCGATTGGCCGGATCATGAGCCCCTGGGCCAAGTTCTCCCGACATGATCTCCCTCATGACCTCTGGCGGCATGCCCATCATCTCCTGCATCATTTTGCTAAATTCGTCTTCGCCAAAACTGGCCTCTTTATCCTCGCCTTCGTCGTCCTCGGATTCATCATCATCGTCGGGCTCGTCATCATCACTGTCATCACCAAACAACCCCGCGCCGTCTGGGCCGGCTTTGTCGTCATTCAAAAATTCCTCAAATTGTTTAACGATTCTTTGTAGATTCTCTTGCGCCGCCTTGTCACCAAAGCCAGTCTTCTTGCCTGTTCCCCCTGGTTGCCCTTTCCGCCCACCGAGCTCGTCCTCAAGATCATCGAAGCTGATGTCGAGCCACTTTTCATCATCCTCTTGCTGACTCCAAGTTGCTATGTCGGAGTCTGATGGTAGGGCCTCGTCCCCTGAATTCAGATCATCCAGGAGCATTTTCATTTCGCGCACAGCCGGTCGATCTTGGTATTGAGAATCCGAGATCAGTATTTCAAATCCACACGTGACTTTCATCCCTATTTCAGCGCGAACATGCGCCTTTGGATCCGTCCCTGATGGCATCGCATCGACGAAGGCGGCAGGGGGCGGGAACTCTTGAGACTTGACTTGCGCGAATGCCACACGAGGAAATTTGACGCTCACTGTGACCAAGTCTTCGGGGGCGAAGACCAGCTTGCCCTTGTTGTCTTTGTTTTGCAAAGGTTTGAGCGCGATTGGATCCCTGAGGTAGAATGCCTCTACGGCCGGTGCAATGTAGGCCGGCTTCTGATGAAGTAAGTATGCAAGTTTCCGCGGGATCGTTATTAACGCATGATGCATGTTTTCTGAAATTTGAGCGGGATAATTGCGCAGCCGAAAGAATGCCTCCTCTTCCATGCTTATCGAGTGCATCAACCTCCTAGGCTCATTCAAGATGATTTCCCTGGCTTGCGAAAGGGACAACTTCTCCTCTGTCCGCTTCGAACTTCTTGAAGCGCTGGCCGGCTTAATAATTTTCAACTGCCCATCATGGATCCAGACACGGTTCTCGGCGACATCTGGCTCAAGCCACGAGGGTAAAGTCCCAGAGGCTTCGATGAGGAGGAACTCGCCATCGCTGTCTTTGACTTTGACCCATAGATCGTTGAATTTTTTGGTCAGCTCCCTCAGGAGCCAGACTATGACCCATTCGTCTTCTACAGAGTCGCCATATTCGGTCTGTCCACGCAAGAAACTTAATCCTACTCCAGTGTCAGTTGATTCTCGACTTCTCTGTCCCATTCGTACAGACCTCACCATCCTCTTTATTCAGCTCAAGGGAGAACCCTTGGCGCTGCCAGATATAGTCTTTCAGGTGCTGTCGATGGATGTCCGTTGCATACTTCTGTACCTCCCGCAGCCGCAGTCGCAATTCAGAGTCATGGCTTGGGTCTAGTGAGGGCGAGATTATGTACAGGGAATACTCGATGCAGTCATCTGGTAAGGCAGGTCTCGGGATGGGATGAAATGTGGAGCGAAACCAAGCAATCTCTTCCTCTGTGGCAGGCATACCCAAATGGCTTTGCAGGAGAATATGATTAGGCAGGTTGGACAAGGACTGCGTAGATGGCGAGGGGAAACTACTTGTAGGGTGCAGTGCGTAAAGGCTCATGCTTTGCTGCCCGCTGATCCCGCCAATGAGATCATCCCGCAGGTGCCAAGCCCCGCGGCACCGACCATTCCTCTTTTGACTAAACAACAACAAGCAACAACCGCGAGATGCTTTGGGCGTTGTAAAAAGCATCACTGCTCCAAAGACCACAGCAGAGTATGGTTACTTGTTTGCCTTAATATTACACAATTGAAGTCAGAGGTGACTGCCTGTCTTATTGGGTGTTGAATTGTCTCCGCCCGTCATGGCGAACTACATCAACACACCGCAGGCGACCGACGCCTCATATATCACCAATGGGCTGGATCGTCTAGGAGAGATCTCGCCCGAGAAGTCCTTTGCGGCACCCCCAGAAAACCGAGACTTGATCAGCCAGATGAGAAATGCGAAATCTCAGGGCCTCAACCTCCGAACCCCTCGAGCTGGACTACGAGATCCATTGCGCCTGCTACCGAATGGCAACCAAGGTCGATCCGAGTTTACACCTCTCATGCAAAGCGCCACGAAGAAGAACATTGCACGTCGCCTTTCGAGCAAGAAGCCCGGCGTTCAAGCGACTCCTTCCTACCTCAAAGGTGGCTACACACCTGGGGCTCCAAGACTCAGCGATATATCACAGTTTGCGAGCGAACACACTTCAAGTTCGGCTGGAAATGCAATGGACAGCACTCCCATGCCTCAACAGATCAGTAGCAGTGCCCAAAGTACACCGCTTGTACCACTGCCAGGACGAGATGCCGCCGGACTTGTGAATGATGGAAACATGATGACCTTACGCGAGCAAGAAAGCATCATTGACAAGGTTGAGAAGGAGAATTTTGGCCTGAAAATGAAGATACATTTCTTGGAGGAGGCTCTATCGAAGCGCGGCAATGAATTCAACCAAGCTGCGTTGAAGGAGAATACCGATTTGAAGGTCAATAGGATCACCATGCAGCGCGAATTGCACAAGTTCAAGAAGAATATTGCCCAGGCTGAGAAGGATGCGGAGGTCTATCGATTACAGCTCGAAGAATTCAAAGAACGAATCAGACGAAAACAAGTGGACGAAAGTGTCCGTGTCGAGCTCGAAACCCTCCGAACTGAGGTCAAAGCAAAAGACAAGCAGATCAAAGCATTAGAAACCGAGAGAGATTCTGCAAAAGATCAAGGAAAATCAACTGTCGAGAAGCTCAAAGATGAGATTGAAGACCTTCAAGCTGAACTGCGAGAGAAGGATCGGAAGATTGATGAGAGAGATGACCAGATTGATGCTCTCAAGGCAAAGGCAAGCAAGGAATCAAATGATGTCGCTGAAATTGAGGATGAGCTGGAGTCTGCCCGACAAGAAATTGAAGACCTCAAGCAGGACCTCGAACGCGCAAAAGCAGCTGCATCAGAAGCAAAAGAAGTCCAAGAAGAGGCTCTCGAAGAAAAACGCAAAGCCGAAGAAGATCTAGAAGAGCTGCGCGATGAGATGGCCAACAAGTCCTTCACAACCAAAGGACTGAGTCGACAGCTTGAAGAGAAAACGAATAAACTCGAGGACGATTTAGATGACTTGCAGGAACGACACAATGCCTTGCAGGTCGAACTTGCAGAGAAGACAGACTCAGAGCGGCAACTGCGCGAGAAAGTTCGAGAGTTGGAGCGCGAAGGAGGATCAGAACTTCGAAAGTTGCAGCAAGATCTTGAGCAATCTCAGCAACAACGTGATACATTCGAACGCAAACTGAACAGCATGGCTAAACAACTCGAGACTGTCGAGAAAGATTTGCAAGTCAAAGTTGAAGAGAAAGATCTCTTGCAAACACGACATGATGCATTGACCAAGGAATCCGCAGAACTTCAGAAAGACCTCTCCAAGGCGCAGAAATCAATCCGGGACCTCGAACTTGCTCTGGACGAGGAAAGACAACACTCGGCACAGAACGAAAACCTCTTGAGATCGCAGCATAAGCAAGAAGTCGACCTTCTAAACGAACAAATCGACGGGTTGCACCGTGAAGTGCATTCGAAAGAGCGAGACCATGCAGCAGATCTAGAAGAATGGGAGGCACAGAAACGGACGCTTGAAGCCGCGTCGCAGAAGGCAGAAGAGAAAGCCAACGGCCTTCAACGCACGGTGGATAAATTCCAAGATGCGCAAGGAACAATCAATGGCCGTGAAATGAAGCTACAAGCAGCGCTCGAAAGCGAGAAACAGCGACATCATCAAGAAGAAAAAGTGCTTCTCAAACAGATAGAAGAGCTCCAGCAAGATCTCGCCAACAAACGCACAGCATCTGATGAAAACAGACTCGAGCTGAACAACGCCAAAGAAGAGCTGCGTATCTCGATCAGAGACCAAGCGGCGCTGAGAGAAAAGGTGGCTGAATTGGAGGAGGAGATCGAGGTACTCCAGGCAGATATTGAGCAAGAGCACGACTTCGCGGAAAAACAACAGCAGAAATTCTCTAGCCATGCGGATGCACAGATCCAGCAGATGCAAGAAGAGAGGCAGTCCTTGCAGAAGGAGCTTGTAAAACGTAACAGCGACCTACAGGACGCACGCATGGCTCTCAAAAAGGCTGAGGAAGAACGTGACGCTCTCGAGTCCAAACTTCAGAATGCTTCCAAGTCGAACGACGAAACATTCGGCATGGATCAAGAAAAGCGAGAGCTGAAGCGTCTCAAAGTCAAGCTCGAGAAAGACATTGCCCGATTGACAACGGAGCGCGACAATCTCCATGAAGCCAACCAAGCGTTGGAAGATGAGATCAATGCCGAGCTCGAGCGAGCAGGCAATGAAGAGGCTCGTTTGAGTGCGGAAATAGACTCTCTCCGGAACCAGAAGGCTTTCAATGCAGACAACAGGGATCGAGAATTGACTTCTGCAAAGAACAAGGTCGCTCGTTTGGAGACTCGTATCAAAGAGTTGGAGGAGATGCTCGACAACCCTTCGAAGACGGTGGCTTCTCAAGCTGGAGATCTGTCTGGTCTCAGACACGACTTGGTAGAAGCAAGAAACAACGAAACGGCAGCGACCAAAAGAGAAGCAGATCTGAAAGCAAACAACCGCGACTTGAAGATGCAGGTCAACAACCTCGAACGCGAGCTGCATGAGGCCAAACTTGCACAATACAAAGCCAAATCGCCATCAGTCTCGCCGCCTCCATCACACTCGAAGGAAGTTGCCAGGCTCCGACAAGAGCTGGTCGATATTCGAGCCGAAGTTCAGGTGTTGAACTCGGAGAATCGCGTGTTGAAACGTGCCATCCGTCGAGCTTCTACTGATGAAGATCAACTGGTCATGCTACAGACGCAGATCAAATCTCGTACTGCAGAGGTGGAATCATTGAGTGCCAAAATTGCAGAGCAGAATGACCTGGTCAATGAACTGCAGGAGGAACTCAATGATCTTCGGGAGAAGGATGGTGAGGCACAACACCTCTCTTCAAGCATTCGCAAACGTGATAGACAGATCCATGATCTGAAGGCGCAACTCAAACGCCTGCGGGATGAGCAGGAAGGAACCAATGACTTGTCCATGAGACTGTCGAGTCGCGATAATGAAGCGAGGGAGATGAAGCATCAACTCCGACGTCTTCGGGAAGAGCGCAGCGTGGCGAACCAAAAAGCTGAAGCGGTGGAGAACGAGCTCGAGGCGCTGCAGACCAAGTATGAAGGTATCCTTGAGCGTCTCACATCTGGCAAGTCAAGCAGAGATGAGGTTCGAGCAAAGGAAATGAAAGGCCTGATCAAAGAGATTATGTGGTTGAAAGCCAAATGCAGACGGGAAGAGCGCCTGCGAAAGGACCTGGCATGGAGCAAAGCTTTCCTCGAACAGGGCGAGGCTGTGAGAGTCGAGTGGTACGTTCTCTTTTCCAGTCCGGTTTTATTGTCTGGTATACTGACAGATTCGACAGCAATCAGGTTGATCTCCACATTCTGGGAGAAATGGGCGTGTCTCTTGACAAACGCAAGTATGAGGTCAAGCTGAAGCCAGTGCAGAAGCTGCGTGCCGGTGTGTTCGCTGTAATCGCCGCCATTCGCATGAGCAACATGGAAGAACAGTGGAGGGATGCGAAACTGCTCGGTGAAGAGCTCAAGTTGATCCGGACCAAGCAATCGAGGCAGCGTTCGATAAGGCGTGTTTTGGAGGTTTGAGAGATGTACGTGCTACATGGGCTTCTCATGGCGTTATTTAACAGTGTGAGCGTTGTCTGTTTGCATCAGGGGATGAATGGTTGGATGTTGCATTGGTTTGGCGTCTTTCTTCGCGATCACGACGATATGACCCTTTTCTGGTTTGAATGAGGGACTCAACAGAGATGCTTCCCCCTTAATCATCATCATCATCATCCTCCATCCTCCAAGTGGTCTTTCTTTGTCTGGTTCTATCATCTCAATAGCCCATGAAAAGCGGAGAAGAGCGTCGATCCCGCCGTTGATTCTTGTCGTGTTGCATCATCGAACTTGTCTTCTTCCCCTCTATGCCATATTTCAGCCGTGCGGGTGGTGCTAGACTTGACAGGGCTCGTGGCTTAACAGATCTTCAGTCTTGATATCCGTTGTCGACCAAAGAGGCGCTAGGGAACTCGCTTCTTATATATCAATTTCTCAAGACAATTCAGGCTCAACGACCCCCCGCCTGAATTCCCCCCACCATCGATCCCACAATGAACGGGCCAAACTACGACGCGACAGGCGTCGAGTTCTACTCGATCGATGACCTCTCCTTCTCGAGTGGCACAACGCTGCACGATGTCCGGGTGGCGTACCGGAGCTACAACCCAACCTCGACGGCCGGGGTGGTGCTGATCCCGACGTGCTATTCGGGCCTCATCAACACGACCCTGACGTTCACGTCGGCCCCGTACGACGCGCTGGCTCGGTACCACGTGGTGGTGGTGGCGATGCTGGGCAACGGCGAGAGCGCGAGCCCGTCCAACAAGGCCTTCTTCCCGGAGACGGGCGAGCTGCGCTACGAGGACGTGGTGCGGGCGCAGCACGCACTGGTGACGGCGCACTTGGGGGCGTCAGCGCTCGAGGCCGTCGTGGGCTTCTCCATGGGCGGCCAGCAGGCGTACCACTGGGCGGTCATGTACCCGGAATTCGTGAAGCGGATCGTGGTCATCTGCTCGGCGGCGCGGACGTCGCTGCACAACTACGCGTTTCTCGAGGGCCCCATCGCCGCGCTGACCAGCTCCATCGACTACGTCGCCTGGAGGGCCATGAAGGACAAGATGGCCCGCGGCGAGGCCGTCGGCGTCAACCTCAAGGAGGTCGTGCCCAAGCGCGGCCTCAGGGCCTTTGCCCGCGCCTACGGCGCCTGGTTGACTAGCACGGCGTGGTTCCGCGAACGCCGCTTCACCCAGATGGAGGGCCACCCGAGCAGCGTCGAGGAGTGGATGCGCATGCGCGAGGAGGGCTACCTGGGCTGGGACGCCGAGGACCTGCTCGTGCTGGCGCGCATGTGGCAGATTGGCGATGTCGGGACCGTCATTCCGTCAGGAGGAAGCAGCAACAAGCTCCTCAGCGAACTCGGCGGCAAGATCCCCGACGACGACCTCTACCGCGCCGCCCTCGCCAGCATCCAGGCCAAGGTCCTCCTCATGCCCTGCCGCACCGACCAGTACTTCCCGCCCGAGGACTCGGAGATTGAGATGAAACACCTCAAGCACGGCCGTCTGGCCGTCATCGAGAGTGTCTGGGGCCATGTCGCCGGCGGCGGCTTGAATCCTCCAGACACGGAGTTTATGAATGCGCGGATCGCAGAGTTGATGAAGGAAGAGTGACTGAGTGAGTGATGGACTGGTTCATGGCCTTTTGCTCCATCTGTTCCATAGCCCCCACCCCCGCGAGATTTTTCAGAGAACTCGGGGGGCAAGGGAGAACGGAAGAAAGGAGGAGAAGCAGTCTCTATTAAAGTCGGGCTTCCTTGTCTATACACATACATACCTAGTAACATAGTGACCTAGTATGCATGCATGCAACGCGACATTGAACTACCTACGTACATTACATAGACTTTCAATTCTCCCAGGAATGGACATGGTCTTCCTCACACGAAAGCCCAAGGTGCCAACAAGGCAGGCAGGACAGGATAAGGACAGAACAGAACGAAGACCTCTAGATGCACGTATGTAGATCGAACGAAAACAACAATAGAGCTCAGTCTAAATGTCCTTGCATGCATACATGCCTACAAGTGTTTGATCTGTTTGCTTAATATGTCCTATTCGAAACGTCAGGCATACAGGCAGACAGTAATCCCTCAATGCCATGCATCAACCACGACACATTGCCGTCGTCCTTCCCTTAGAAGGGACTGCGGTAGTAGAAGGGAGTCGTCCGTCCACGGGAGGGGGGCGTATCGTCAAGTCCCGATCCCGGATCAAATATCGGGCCCTTTCTCTCCCTCTTGTCATCCAGGAACTCGAAGGCCCGGGTCCCTCAAGATGCTCCGTGGTGGGCGAGAATCTTTCCGGATCCATCGCAGCAAGAAGAAGAACAAAAGCCAATAAGAAAAGGACCAACAACGCATCGTGCTTCTTGTATGCTTTTCCCATCTAGGTCTGGAATTCTGTTATTCCAGACCCAGGAACAAACAACAGTCCCCAGGTGGAGGGAGTGCGCCATGTACATTTTATGTCGTAACCCGCAACAAAAATCCCAAAATCGCCCATATATATTGCATCAAAACATCCTGGCTCCCAAATTCCCACAAGACCACATCGCATAACATCACATCACATGCGCATTATAATAAGAGGCTTCAATCACACACAAAGGAAAAGACATGGCTTGATCCTCCCCGCCCCGTCTTCGTTTCTCTCATCTTCAATCGTAGTTCTGCACCTGCCAACTCAGGATCATCATCCACAGAAACAAAACGGCCAGTATTATGCTCCACGCAAAACTGGCCTTCCAACACGCGCAGATGTTGCTCTGCGTGAGCCACGCCAGCGTCTCTATTGAGACGCCGTGATATTCTTGGTTCTGGACAAAGTTGTTACAATTGCCGTTGACGTTGCCGTCGCCGTACAGTTGAATGGCCGTCTCTATTAGAGTGGTCACCCATAGCACGAAGAGCACGAAGCTGCCCAGGAGGATGATGCCCGGGATGAGTAACCGGCGTGCCGCGAGGATGAGGATGATGATGAGGAAGACAATCGTGAGGGAGCCGCAGATGACGGCAAAGGGGAATAACCTGTTCAGGCCCCAGTCATTCAGGTGTCAGCAGGTGTCCAACGACCATTTGCGCATAGGAGAAGCATACCAAGGAATTCCAACCTGCAATTGATCCTGCACGGCGATGAACCACGCATTGATGCCCAATACTGTAGATGACCCGGCCAACACGATGAATATCCACAGATTCAGTTGTACTTCGGGCCAGATATACCGCCGGCGCGACGACTCGCGCACAATGACTTCTGTCGCCATCTTCTTTCTGGGCGAGATGAGGCGGGGGAGGGCGTGCAAGGGCACCGAGCGCGGGCCACGCTGCGCTTAGAATAGGGCGCGCCCGCCGAAGAGAATTTGTGGTACTGGAGTGGGAGTCGAGAAATCTGAGCAGGGCCGGCGTAGTAGGGCTCAAGCGTGCCGTTCGACGCAAGAGGTTTGCCTTTTCTTCTTCTGATCGTTGGCGGGTTTCAACACGTTTTCAGACGAGGTCCGTCCCCCATGGAGGCCGTGGGCGCGCTCTTAAAAATGTTGCAGGATGTCGCAGGCATATGCTGGTATGTTCGGGTGAGTCAGTTCGAGTAGTTTTTGGGCTGCAAGACGGAGCAGGTACCCGAGCGAGCACAGAAGGACGTGGCTGCAGCGTGTGGTTCATGAAGCATCGTTAAGCAAGCTCGGTGAATGGGGATCGGCCACGACGCGGCGGGCATGTTGGTGTTTGGTGTTTGGTGGATGATGCATGCGGTGGAGACGAGAAACTGCGGGCGGCGGGTGGCTTGGGGCAACCGGACCAGGGCGGGTGGATGAGACTCGGTAAACAAACATGGCATCACACAAAGCACAAGGCCCCAGAGGTATGTAGTAAGATGATGAGATGATGAGATGGCACCCTGGGCTGTACCTATGTTAGGCATATACATTCTCGGTACTGGGTGCTCCGTACTCGGTAATGATCCTGATTCTCCCACGTATCTCTGTAAACACAAGTCTCCCCGTCCCTCATTCTTCATTCTAAACTCTTCAGGCATAATTGTACAGTCATGTGCCCCCCCATAACGCCGGCCCTCTTTCCATAGTAGTCATGCACCATGCGTTTGCAACCCTGACAATAATAACCACCCACCCCTTCGTTGATTCCCAACCATTCGTTCCCTTATGTCGTAGGCGATTAGGCTCAATATGCACGCGTACATACAGCACATGGAGATGGTGATGTGGTGACTTGTCCTTCTCTCACCCAAGTGTCACTCCTGAGAAAAGGCACTTTTGCACTTCTCACATGGTGTGTCACAAAGCCCTGGAACATGCAAACGAGCAGCGCCGATCCTTGAGCCCTCTGAAAGCCTCAGGCAAATCCGAGAATCTGTCAAGTATGGCACTGATCCCCTAGTGATAGCCGTAATATACTCCTCCTAGAATATTTGCAAGCCGGTGAAACCCCAAGTCTTCCTCTGTAATGCTCTAGACTTTCCAAACGGACAGACTCGTGTTGGTTACTCCTCGACGGTGGCATCCTGTTTCACCGTCAGTTAGTATCTCCCAGAAGGAGAGTTGAATTGAAAACCCACCTCATCCGGGTCTCGCACAGATGATGCTCCTCGTCGCCGGACAGAACTTCTCCGATCCACCTCTATGGTCTCCTCGACGATAGTCCCCTCTCGCCTGCTGCTGCTGCGTGGCCCGCGCCGACGAATGACTTCCTCCTCGACCACTCCACGCCGAAGACCAAACACATTCCCGTAATTGAGAGCCGCCCAAATAACATATATGATAAGCAGGAACCCGCCGATTGAGCCCAGCACGATGGCAGCGACGGTCCCTGGTTTTGGTCCAGCGTTGAGGCCGAGGTATGTCGTGGGTATAGCGAGAATCGCCTGCTGCCGTTTTGTCAGAGACGAGGCGCCCGAACCGCCGCCGGGCTCGTAGACCTGAAAACTATCCATGGTGGGTGAGTCGAAGATGGGCGCCAGGGTGAGTTGATCAGTGTCTGTGCAGGCTTTGTATCAAAGAACTTCGCGATGTGTGTGACACAGCACGAGACACTTTGAAACGCAATGGTGTCCCATGGGCACTATGAAAGGTGTTGCTCCTATTGTTTTGAGACTGGGGTGGCCCATGATCGAGTACATGTATCTCCAGAGTAATACGTGGGCTGACGCGACCAGACTAAACACCCACCAACCTCTTCCGTATCAGTTTAGCATGTGTTTCTGGGCGAGGAGCCGACGAATCTCCACCCGGACACAAGTGGGAAAACACCTGGCGTGGATTGATATGCCCCTCATCCTTCGAGCTATTCCGATCTCTACAAAGTTGCTCTGTTGGGCAGTTCTTCCCAGTCGCAACTGGTGGTCGAGCTCTTGAGAAAACACCGTTGGACTACCAACGTTGTGCTGCGTCTATTGGGACTTACCTTTGTAACGGCCCGGAAGTATATCCAATGTGTTGTTGTTGTTGGGGAAAATGGTGTCGCCCCGGTGAGCATCCTTGGATCGGCCGACAAGCGAGGCCAGAAAGCTGAAGCTAAAGTCTCCCCACAGCCTGCGATGATGCCTAGGATGGTGAGCAGGCATGCTAATTTACTCGCCCGGTTGCCGGTTGCTCTAGGCAAATCCGCAGCGCCTAGGGCTGCTGCTAAGCGAGGAACGAGCACCCAGGCTGGGGAGGATCAATATACTGCATGCACTTGTGGCTGCTTAAGCATCCCTACGCTGAAGGATTTAGGTGCCACTGAGAACGAGATATAAGTCTGCGACCAGAAGCATGAAGATGCTCGACCTTATTCGAGGATAACATATGAGATCTCCGTACAAAGATTCCCTCTGCTCAACATTACAACTCATTTTGCTCGTGAAGGCTGCGACGTGCACAATCAGTGCCCCTTCCCCGTCTCTTTCTGGAAAGTATGACCTTGTACACTTCGAGCAGATATAGGGCATCTGAGAGGATTAGAGATTGGCAGCACAATCCATGCAAGAAGATGTCTGGGTGCTGCTGCGGTATGGCTTAGGAGGCTGACACTCTGTCTGCAGACTTGACGCAACTCTGGTGGGATTTCTAAGGCTTCACTGACATGTTGAAGCTGACTGGCGAGCTTATAGCGAGTGATGAACGTAGATAACCAACTCTCTCAATCGTGACGATATATCGAATGATTGTGTTCCTCCGAGTCTGTAGCAGGAGGAAATGTGGGCGCTGGACAAGGCTGAGTGCGTTGCCCCCCGCAACAACCCAAATGGTCGTCTTCGTAGTTACTCGGCCCTCCAAGCACAGCTGAGGACCACGACCTTGTATTTGCACCCGCAGAACCTCATCCTTCAACGTCTATAAATTGCAAAGCTCAAGATGAGCGTGCGTGTTGTCGCCCGTATTCGACCACTTCTGAAAACCGAAATCGAAAGGGACCAGATCGTGAGCAGCCACCCTGGTCCGGATGGGAAGCCGACGATTGTCAAGATTCCCAACCCCAAGAACTTTGCCGAAGAGTACAGTTTCCAGTTCAACAGCGTCTATGAGCAAGATGCAACGCAGCAGGAGATATTCGACGCCGAGGGTAAGCTTCTCGTCTGGTCGCAAAAGCTGGTATTCGCCTGACTGACTTCTGTGGCCGCAGTTGCACCCACAGTAAAACATCTCCTGCTCGGTTACGATGTCACCATCTTCGCCTATGGCTCGACGGGGACGGGAAAGACTCATACAATGCGTGGCGGAAAGTCGCTGGCTGACCGTGGCATGATCCCGAGATTGCTTAGCAGTATCTACAGAAAGAGTCGGGCGATTGAAAAGAGCAGTAGTGGAGAAACCACGGTCGAAGTGTCCATGAGCTACTACGAGATCTACAACGACCGCGTCTTTGATCTTTTCGAGGCTCCCGAGAAGCGAACGGCCACTGGACTGCCCATCAGAGAAGCTGAAGGTGGAAAGACGGTGGTCGTTGGTCTGACCGAAATGCCTTGCGCCTCTTTGAAGGATTTCGAGGTGTTGTACGACAAGGCCAATGCCAATCGAAGTACCGGTGCCACCAAACTCAATGCCCATTCCTCACGGTCCCATGCCATTCTTTGCGTCAAGGTGGCCATCACCACTCCGACGGAAACGAGAATTAGCACAGCTTCTGCCATCGACCTGGCGGGTTCGGAAGACAATCGAAGAACGGGGAATGGAAAGGATAGAATGGTCGAGTCCGCGAGCATCAATAAGTCCTTGTTTGTCCTGGCGCAGTGCGTGGAAGCCATCAGCAAGAAACAGCAACGCATCCCGTATCGCGAATCCAAGATGACCAGGATTCTCTCGCTGGGACAAAACAATGGCTTCACAGTCATGATCCTCAACCTGGCGCCTGTCAAGGCCTACCATCTTGACACGCTCAGCTCCCTGAACTTTGCAAACCGGACCAAGAAGATTGAGGTTCGCGAGGTGGAGAATGAACCCATCTTTAAGGGTCCTCCGCGCCAGGTCCCAGGCGCACCAGTCGGCGGGTCGACGATGCAGCGGCAACCACTTCGCCCTCTAACCAATGTCGTCAATGTAAACCTCACTGCAAATCGGGACACAACCGCGAAAAATGACAAACCACCAAAAGCCTTTGCGGTCTACTCGGACAAAACCAAGACGGCGACTAGTGCCAAACTTATGCCTCAGAAATCGTCTCCACTGAAACGCACGGCCGAGACGTCGTTCCTGGCATCTGCTCGCCCACCCAAAATCGCGCGCCCAACACCCAGCTTCATCCGGCGTGTCCCAGAATCTCAAGCTCTGGGCATGGATAAATCCTCGATCGAGAATCTGGTGGAGAAGAAAGTCTCCGAGATTCTTGCAGCCCGGGCTCTCAACGCACCCGACCCAGCTCCACAAAAGTCCATATCTGAAGAAGTTCAACGACGGCTGGACAGTATTGAGAAGAGGCTGGAAGGGCAAGACGGTGAGAGGGCGGAAGGCTTAAGTTATTTGTTCATGGCCAAGCAGCATCAAGCCCGTGGGGAGTTTGGGAGCGCCCTGAAGATGTATGAGCTGGCTAGGCCGTATTTCCCCGACAACGAGAAGTTGAAGGGTAAGATTGAACGGCTGAGAGAGAAGCTTGCAGCGAAAAAGGAGTCGAGCGATACAGTGGGAGATTCAGACGAGAGGCTGGATCTATCAAGCAGATCGGAAAAGCGGAAGACGTCCCGTGGGAATGATGAGGGTGATGAAAGCTACCAGGATGAGGATAACGAGGGCTCAGCCTACCACGATAGCGACCAAGACGAAGCCTCTCGGTCACGGCAGAGAAAACAAGCCAAGTCGCAGAAACGCAGAGCAAGAGCATCATCGCCGGATCCCCTCACGCAACAAGGACCGATAGAGCCGAGTGCTGCGGTAACACCTCGAACACAATACCTCCTAAAAGTCATCAACACCCGGGATATCATGAAAATCAAGACATTGAACGGACTTGGTGCAAAGCGTGCCGAGGGGATCGTGGACTACCTGAATGAGCAAGAGGGTGAAGGAGTCGAGGATGTCTTTGTCCGAAGCTGGAATGATCTGGCCAAGTTAAGGGGGATTGGAAAGAAGACGCTAGAGACCATGAGGGAGGGTGTTCAGGTGGTCCTGTGAGTGAGGAAGCGAGCCAGGTTCAATGGCGTTGTGTATATACTGTTGTTCAGAATTGAGTACGCATTGGTTGGTTGTAATGAATAACGGATGGTCTGGGGGACGGGGCTGTGGTGGCGAGGCTGTCGTCCAAAATTGCTGATTGGCTTTTCGCATCTTTGACACTTTGAGGCTGTTGCATCTCGATTCAGTCCTTTGGACTTGTAGACAACAGCTGTCTATATCAGTTACGACTTCTTTTTCCTCATTCGCGGCTGCCTGAAAGACTGACTAACCATAGGCCACGTCGTCTTTACACTACGCTTTTTCAATGGGACCACATTCCGCACCGTCTGCGAAGTCGCATCACCATGCAAACATTACCATACGATCGACAAATCATCCAGCGACTCTCTGGCCCCCAAGCCGCGCCTCCACCTCCACCTTTCAGCACTTCATTGGCTATCTTTTCAAGCCTCCCTCAGCCAGCCTCAACTCGACACAGTCCGACACCAAATTCTTTCTGCGCACCTCAAGATCCTGAAAGCCTGCTAGCGCTATCGGATCAGAGGAACTGTCTAACAGAGCATCAGCGAAATTGAGGACCAAGGGCGGTTTGGCACAGATGAATATGAGAAGCAATGGCGGAAGTGCAGGTTGATCTGGCAGTAATACATTGTTGTTTGTCTTCAATGATCACGGCGTCACGGAACAGCTCGACAGAAAGGCTTGCAATGTGATATGTGACATGCATAAAAAAAGGGAAGCATGCCTGTCAACCCTGGGCTGGATGCGCCGTACGATAACGGCAGAATACTCCCCAGGAATGTGCCTTGCCGGGATCAGGCCGTCACCCCTGCTCATTTGGTGGGTGTAGCAAGTCTGTCGTACTTCGACTCGCATCCAACCAACTCAGCCTTGTACCCTGCCTTGTTGGCTTTTGCGCATTCGTCCTGCAGATGCTGGGCGGCTCGGTTGCTTCGCCTCCGCCAACACATCCTCGGGCTTTCCACCCAAACACCCACCCATCGCCAGCCTGATATTGTCGAAGCTGGCTCTCGAATTTTTTTTCTTAGCCAGCGGAGGACAGACTTCCCTATCACAGAGTCTGCTTCCCATTCTTGTTGGCTCCAGAATTCGAGATGGTCGACCCTCTTACGACTTTCGCGGCCGCGGGCAACGCCCTCCAGTTCGTCAGCCTTGGGATCGACTTGGTCCGCAAAACCATCGACTACGCGAATGGTGGCGGGAACAATTACTTTGAGTCATTGAAAGACTGCGTGCAACGTCTGTCGGTCTCAAGTGCCCATCTCCAGACGTCGATGGAGTCCATCGCCTCCCAATCGCTGCCGCCAGGACCTGCCCGTGGTCTGCATCGTGCAAACCTCGAGTGCTTGAGAGTGTCTCAGGAGTTCACAGCGATGCTGGAAAAGCTGGGTCTCAATAGGCGACACAGCCTGTGGAAAAGTGGTGAGTCTGTTGACCCTAGAATCCTTGATTTCAAGATATGCTCCATGGCACTTTCTGGCTATCCTATACAGCGTATGCTAACCATTTCAACATGGTAGTCAAACTGGCTTTGAAAAGTCACGCTGAAAAATCGTGCATTGATACCTTATCGCGGAATCTGGATCATGCGAGGGCGAACTTGATGCTCTCCCTCATGGTTTACCTCCACGACCAGTCTGCTGTGGACCGCCAGAATATGAGCGAGGAAATGCGTATTATCGCAGACCAAGCTCTAAGGGCTACCAAGTCGTCTGCTGATATTAAAGCTGATATTGCCAAACTGAGTTCTAGCCTTTCCTCGCTAGCTATCGACGATACCACCATATCTCTCGATGTTGAAGATGCATTGGAACGCAGCGGCACCTATCTTACAAATGAGATCAAGGGGCTCTCTACACGCCTGGAGCGGTTGGATGATAACCTCAAAGCTTTACTAGACGAGGTGCACCGGCTCCTTCCCACAATGAAAAGCGAATTGGCCGCTCGACGTTCGATCGTGGAAAGCCTATGGTTTTCACAGATCAACAACAGACGCAATAACATAGGTCGGGCCTTCACTAACACATATCAGTGGATATTCAAGCAAAAAGACAATCAAGTAATTGTATGGGACGACTTCGTTGAGTGGTTGCATTCGAGTAGGCACCCTATATACTGGGTGTCTGGAAAACCCGGATCTGGAAAGAGCACTCTGATAAGAGAACTTGACGAGCGCGCACACAACATGTTGTCTCTGTCAGCATCAGGTAACGATACAGTCCTCAAGGCTTCGTTCTATTTTTGGTATGCTGGCACCAACGACGAAAAATCGATGTCTGGCTTGCTCCGAACACTCATCCATCAACTGCTGTTGCCACATCTTGATCTTGTAGACCAAGTGGTTTCAGCCAGCAAGTGGGAGGCGAGCCTCAGTGGATGTTCGCGACTTCACGCGTGGGAAGAAAACGAGTTGGTTGAAGTCCTATGCAGGACTATACAACACCTCGGAAGCAGCAAACAGATTTTGCTATTTATCGACGGGTTGGACGAACACGCTGGTTCAGATGACCAACAACAAGAAGCTCTGGATTTGATACACAGACTCGCTCTAAGCCAGAACGTCAAGGCGTGTGTCGCAAGCCGGCCCTATAACATATTTCGAGATGAGTTCCAGGAATGCCCGCAACTCCGGCTCGAGCATCTGACCCGAAACGACATGCAACTCTATGTTCATGGCAAGCTGGGCCAGAACTTGCACTTTCAGCGACAACTACAGAGAGAGCCGCAGCTACTTGACAATCTAACCACAGAAATTATAAGTCGTGCTAGAGGGGTATTTCTGTGGGTGCACTTAGTTGTGCGTGATCTTCTGAGAGTCCTGAGGGACGGAGGTCGCGGTAAGCACTTGTTCAGAGAGTTGGAGAGCATTCCCCTTGACCTGGATGATTACTTCCAACGCATATTTGAGTCGGTGCCAGTGCCATACAGAAAAGATGCATCCATCATCCTCCAGACAGCATTGTCCTGCAGCAGCGAGGACGCAGTGGACGTCCGTGGTGTTACAGACTTTCAATTTCGTCTTATGCATCTCTATTTTCTGGATCAAAGTGAAGACTTGTGCTTTGGTTCAAATTCACAACTTTATGATGTTAACTTTGCTCATCCGCAAGAAGGAAGAGAACTCCTCCAGTTGCTGGAGCGAATGCTGATGAGCAGATGTATGGGATTGTTAGAGACTGGTTCGAACACCAACGAGAATGGCTACTATGGTTACAGCAAAACCATGAACCCCGGAACGCGCATCGAGTTTCTGCATCGAACAGTACGAGATTACTTTGCAGGTCGTGCTGCAGTAGATCTGCTTCACCGCCACACCGACTCACCATTCGATGCTCACATGTTCCAATGCAACCTCATGGCCATCGATATCAGAACCTTCGGCCGTTATGGAACGACCCTTGGTACGGGGCTGTTTGACGTAGAAAAATTTCTCCGGCACATTATAGAGCGACCAGATGAAGAGGAGACTGCATTTGTGCTATTTGAAAAGGTGGTGGAACTGTTCGACGGGATTGAAATGGCAACATCTAACTACTACAATCACCTAAACATCCGATCTAGGACTATCAACCAAATATTGCAGAGTTGGTCGGCGCACCGAAGCAATTCCATGTCACTCAGCATACAGCTTGGTTGGAAGTCGTATGTCAAGGCACGACTAACAGAGGCAAAAGTTCGAGAGAAAGAGGGGAGACCGCTGCTTCACTATGCTCTTGTACCAGTCGCTGATAGCTGGACATCGCCTGATCCCAGCATCTTGAGCGACCTCCTGAGACTCGGCGCCAATCCAGACGAACTTGTTAGTACACAGCATCTTAGTGTTCCTATATGGGTCTCCTTCTTAGCGGCGATACCCTACATCGAGGGCCTTGACTACACGAGATGTCTAGAGATTGTCAAAATGCTCGTATTACACGGTACTCGGCCAGTGATGATAGCTACCGACTTCAAAAGCGCTTTGGACCAAGTTTGGCACCACTGTATACACAGTTCGGCATCATATTCCGACATGTTCAGCGGTGTAAGGATGTCCCGTCGAACTAACCTTCAGCAAAAGGATGATGCCGAGACATTTTGCTCATTCCTAGACGTTGCGGAGAGTCTTGTGCAGCAGTCATTCGACAGTTCGGAATCCCCCGTCTTCACTGAGGAGGACATCGTGACCTTGAGGGAACTGGAGCTCTCCCGATATGGGAAAGGCCCGGACTATCGTCCGTCTCTCAAGCAGCCAGTGTTGGGTGCAAAACGGGCCAGAGAGTCGTCTCCCTCACAGCCGGATGATGTACAGCTCGAATCCAACGGACGTGGCCGTGACTCTGATGGTGAGGAGCAGCCACTCCAGAAGAAGACCCGAAGGTAAGGGTTTCTGGATGTGGTGCTTGATATGCACAGTCCACTTTTCGGTGTGGACAGTTGCCTCAGGTAGAGTCGCTCCTTGACATGCTGGACAATGATCGCTATACTGTTCGATACCGCGAATTAGTGGCCACCATGGACGGTTTCACGACACTTGACTGAAGGAGAATCGGACATATTGCAAAATGGAGCCCACTGGGGAGATTGTTCACACGGTAGTTTGAATCTTCTGGAGTGATATCACCGCTTACCTGCTTGGTGCGTTTCATTACACATACATATCACGATTTCCCAAACGGGCCCTTTTACTTAGGTATCATATTGATCCGACATGACGCTTGCCACGCTTCCATCTTCCCGCCCAAACGATGACAACTCTGACCAAAGTCGATCTTCAGGAAAACCTTGGAGAATCGTTGTTGTCCAAAGGAATGAATCTCTTCTTCCTTTTCGGCGATTTCCACCGGTCTGTCTCTCGCAAGACTTGGCTCTGCGTGGTTTTCTCAGGCAGGTCATCCGTGATCATTAGCCACTCGCTCTGCCATGGCCGTGTATGCGACCTGGGTCCGCAGAGCGGCGTTGTTGTCCCTTGGGGATCTCATCATTGCGAATCCCGGCAACTGCAGAGTCGTCCTTCTTCCCGGGCGGCTCAATGCCTCATCTTCGACAAGGCTGTACCTCGAAGAAAGAGGAGACGACGAGGTAGAACCAGCCTTCTTGTGCGGCGATCCCTCCTCCGGTGATTCTAGAGGTGGCGGCAGCGGCGGGACCGGCAAGACGACCAACCTAGCCCGTTTAGCCCAGCGCTTCGTGCTCGCCGCGGGGGCGATCTCGTTCGGCCCACCGCGCAGCATGACCTGTGTGACGGCCCTGCCCATGCTGGTCTGCTTGGTGTAGTGGTTGAGTGCGGCCCAAACGCGGGGCTGGACGCAGCAGATGAGAAGCGACGCGAGCAGGGTGACGACGAAGACGGTGCCAACCACGAACGCCGGGATCGCGTACCGCAGGTCCGCGTACGCGATGGACCGCTCGTACCGGTACGCCTGGCGCAGTCCGAGCGCGTTGGCATTGGCATTGCCATCGGTGCCGTGCTGCGTCACCGACCCCATGGACCCCATCCCTTCAAACCCCGTCCGCGTGCCCACGATGGCGAAGCCGATCAGGTCCGTCCAGATCAGGTTCATCAGCGTCTCGGCGCCACCGGTCGATTGGGACATGAGCTGGCGCCACTTGAGCGTCAGCCCGTAGTTGGATTTGCCGCTGTAGCTGTTGGTGGTAGGGAATCATGCATGCGTCAGTCATGTGTCTTGGATATGTACGAGGTATATATTGCTTCCCCCTCGCACACGAGAAGAAGGAACAAAGCAAATAGAAGGGGGTAACCATGTGTATGTGTGTGTGTGTGTGTCTAAGGGAGGAGTCCCGGACGTACTTTGGAATAGAATTCTCATTCACATCACTCAACGCCGCCGCGTACGAGTAGATGCTGTTCCACGCGGCGGTGAAGACGCCCCCGGCCGCGAACGAGTCGTACATGTGATTCCCCAGGGTCGTGCCGCGCACCGCGGCGGGGAGATAGATTTTCGCTGCGCGGTGGACGTCGACGTCCTCGTTCCTTTGGTGTGATTCATCCACGAGGCCCCAGAACTTGTACACGTCCCAGACCTTGTACGCGGCCGGGTCGACTTTCTCGATCCCCCACCGCGGCAAACTCTCAGGATCCGTGTAATTCTTGTCCCGCACCCCGACGACCTGCAGCGCGTCGAGTGCGACGCTCCCGTTCGCGCGGAACGTCACCTCCTTGACCGTCGCGGCCACGGCGCTGGCGCACGTGTACAGGTTCTGCGTCCAGGGGGAGCCCGGGTCCGGGCGCCAGGATTGCCCCGTCCCGAGGACGTTCTCCGGCTGCGGGATGCTGTACAGGTAGCCGCACTGCATGAAGGCTTTGGCGGGGACGCTGGGGTCGTCGTCGTAGTAGCCGCTGCAGCGGGTTCCTGGAATATCCGAAAAGGTTAATAACTTTGTCACTCTGGTGGATGAATGGAATAGAGGGAGCATGGCATGGCGCATAGCATAGAATAGCACAGGAACCCGATCTCTCTGATCGGTCTATTGTGTATATAGAGGTGGATAGATCGAGATCGTAATACATATGCATGTACATACAGTAGGTAGGGAGGGAGGGAGGCAGAGGTACCATGTAAACTTGGAGGGGGAAAAAAAAGGAAAGGAAACCGACAGATGTATGTACTGTACTGTACGTACCGTAATCTTTAAACTTGGACTCCAGCGTCGCCTGCCTCTTGTAATAGATATCGTCGAGGAACATGCCGTCCATGCTACTGATCTTGATGGCGCCGGGCTCGCTGAGATAGCCAAACGTGTTGAATTGACCGGCGTACACGTCCCCGCGTTCCGAGGCGGTGATGTTGAGCACCTGCGCGACGAACTGGTTGTTCCACCAGGCGAGAATGTCGGCGCTGCGCTTCAGCTGCGGCGTGGCCCCGACGTCCTTCCACTTGTCATCCGGGTCGTTCCAGCGCGGCGAGGGGATCGAGGCGGGAATGTTGGCGAACCCGCCGTCGTCCCGTAAAAAGCCGTCGTCGCCGGACATGGAGTTAGAGGCGTTGGCGTTGACGGAGAAGTGCAGGCTCAGGTTCGTGTTGGTGCACCGCGTCTCCGGGACGATCCAGAGAATGTCCTCCGTCCAGGTCGCGCCGAGCTCGAGCCCGCCGGGCACGGTGTGGTTGCGGATGCCGACGCCGCCGCTGAACGCGTCGATGATCAGCCCGTTGACCAGGTGGTAGCCCTCGTTGAGGATCATGGACGGGAGCACCTCGAGACGCCCCACCGCCCGGCTGGCGTTGTTGTCCACGTACCAGTTGTTGACGAGGTTGTAGGCGCGGAACTCGATGTCGAGAAGGTTGGCGACGGTGCCGATCTTGGTCCTGCTGGTGAAGAGATCTCGCGTCACGTCGGGAATCGTCGAGTTGATCACCGTGTGGTTGGGGTATTGGTTCCTGACCGCCGGGTCGTCGTAGATGGAGTGCGGGCAGTCCATCCATTTCTGCCAGCCACACCGTCTATTGACGCCCTGTCGGTCCAGCGTCGCCATGCCGTAGTACGAGGGGTCTATGAAACTATATTAGCAACGACGCACAACAAGGTAGGGGAAATTCGTCAAAACTTCACGCACTCGGGACGTAAAAGAACTCGACGTCATGCAGCCCGCGAGACGGATTGATCTTCTCCAAGAGCGGCTTCGGGGTGAGAAAGTTTGCGACGACAAGACACACGGTCGCCAGAGTCACGGCTATAGAGATGCCAAAGACGCGCCAGCGGACCATCTTGCCCGTAAAGTTGCCCGCGGCGCCATCGCTCTGCAGCAGCAACGGCCACCACGAACTCTGGAGGAGATGGCTGATCGAGGACCATGTGACGGCGTCGAAGGAGCGGTCGCGGACGATGCCGACCAAGACAAACGCAAAGAGCAGGGGGATCAATATGTGGACTATTCGGAGGTGGTTAAATCAGAGCAACAGCGGTAGTTGGCAGGGGGGTTATGAGCCTTACGCAGTGAGATGCACCCAGAGATAAGACCTGCGACTTCTCCGACGGTGAGATTAACTTCGAACATTCTTGACGAGGGGTATGTTCAAAACGGATGAACGGGTGAGGAAGAAGATGGTTTCTTGGACAAGCCACAGCTTCATGGGGGAAGAAATCGACGGTAGAAAGTCCAATGATGATTGCAATGAATCATAAAACCACTCTCCCACCTTTCTACCATTGTCTTCTAATTCTAGCTGAGCAGAGAGGACGACCCAGACTCGCTGGCAAAGTCGAGGGAGAAGGGACTTTTGGAGTGGTGCACAAGTGAGTGAGGGTGAAAGGGAGTGGGCCAGAGACCCAGAAGCCAGCGATGCCACCAATGAAATAGAAGGAAACAAGCCCATTTTGGGCAATACGAACAGACTAGCCGGTTTGGGAAGCCTTCGCAGTGGCTCGCTCCGCCACGCGCGGTGGATTGGGACTCGGGGAGACTTTGTATTAACTTTGTGGACAACCACCACCGCTTCTAGGTCCCCAACCGCATGGCAGTGTGCTCGGTGTGGCGCCATGGACTTCCATACTGGGGTGAGATATTTTTTTGGAGGTGGAAACTAGTATGTGACTCGCATTGCAGCCTGATGGCTCGAGTCGCCTGTTCTGGACTGACTTGTGCAACAGTGGTTTCAGTCCGGATCTGACACCGGTAGAGTGGTTCTCTATCAGTGGCCTGGCCAGATTTCCGCATATGTGTATCTTATACCCTGGGTTTTCATCAGTGACGACTTGGTCAAGTGCAAGCACGTATATTCACAGCGTACCGATGCCCGACATGTTGCGTGCACTCTTGTTGGTCCTCGAGACATGTTCCCTCTCCATCTTGATCAGGGGCAGTGTAGCGGCCGACATCAGCGACCATGAACTCGGCATCATTCTCGAAAAACGACAAAACTACACCTGCAGCAACCAAGGGCTCCAGGACGTCTGCGAAACAAACTCTGCAGACTGCATAGCTGCTATGTGCGAGTCATGCTCTGGCTATGTCTTTATCGCCAATTGCTGTGCCCTGGCCAGCTACACGGCGATGTTGCAATGCCTTCTCGAGGTGCAGAGTGACCCCTCTGAGATCACCATGACCGTCGGGTCGACAGCGACGAGCAACAGTCCCGACACGAGTACCAACACGGCACCATCCAGTGCGGCACCCTCTCTCGGCATCAGCGGGTCGGACGCGTGTTCTGCTTTTGAAGAGATTGTGCTTGGGTGCGAAAACGCGACGCCGGGCTTCTCGACCGAGGCGTTCAGCCGACAGACAAGCTGCCTGTGCTACAGCAATGGCACGTATCAGCCTGACCTTTACGACGGCATGTTCGCAGGCTGTCTCGCCTATCTTTCCACGGCCACGCCCGCAGAGTACTCGAGTATCGCCACTGGATCTGTTGATTTCGCACCGTG